GTCCTTATCCAGCCTCTCCATAGCACAAGAGGCAACAGCACTTCAGATGTCTCCCTCCTTTTTGGTGGCTCTTGTGAAACCTCATACACAACCTTTGTTCATCTTTGCAGGCTCCTTTCTTTCTGAGCTGGTTTACCCTGCTCTCTGCTCTTCACAAGTGTGGGAGCATAGGTGTCCTTTCTCTAGGCCCTTTAGTCTTTTTTTTCTTTTTCTTTTTTAACAAGGTCTTATATATCCCAAACTGGCATCAAACTTGCTATATAGGCTACGTAGGCAAGGAAGGCCTTAAACTTCTGATCTTCCTGCCTCCACCACCCAAGTGCTGGACATAGGCATGTGCCACCTTACCTGGTTTTATGTGATGCCAGAGATGGAACCCAAGGCTACATGCTTGCTAGGCAAACTCTCTAAAAACTAAGCTAATCACTACCTCTTCTTAGGACTCTCTATACTCTTAAAATTTAAAAACCTCTAGGAACTATTGCTTCATGAAATTAGCCATTAATATTTACTGTATTAGAAATGGAAATTAAGGTTTTTGTTTGTTTGATTTTTAAGTATATTATCTCAGCCAGGCATGGTAACACACGCCTTTAATCCCAGCACTTGAGAGGGGTATCTCTGAGATTGAGGCCAGCTTGGTCTCCCTAGCGAGTTCCAGGCTAGCTGTGGCTAAAGGGAGACCCTGTCTCAAAAAGACCAAATAAATAAATAAAGGATATTATCTCTTTTTAAAAGAGTTTTAAAAATTTTTTAAATATTTGTTATTTTTATTTTATGTGTATGAGTGTATTGCTTGCATGGATGTAAGTGTACCCATGTCGTGCAATGCCCACAGAGGTCAGAAGAAAACATTGGATCCCCTGGAACTGGTATTACAGACAGTTGTTAGCCTCCGTGTGGGTGCAGGGAATCAAAGATGGGTCCTCTGCATGAGCAGCCTGTGTTCTTAATCACTGAGCCATCTCTCCAGCCCCATTTAAGAAAATTTTAATTATGTGTCTGTGTGTGGGTATCTGCACATGTGAATGTATGTGCCCTTGGAGTACAGAACAGGATGTTGGATACCATGGAGCTAGAGTTACAGGCTGTTATCAGTGGACTGACATAGGTTCTGCAAACCAAACTCAGAACCCTCTACAAAAACAGCAAACACTCTAAACCTCTGAGTCAGCTCTCAAGCCCCTCAAATTAAGTTTTGAAAATAATTTATTTCAAAGTGCCAATAGGAAACTCTTGATATGTTAACATGAATATTTATGAAAAAAGAACTTTTGTTTAGTTGGTTGGTTTTGGTTTTTTGAGACAGGGTCTCGCCATTTAACACTTACTGGCCTAGAGCTCATAGAGATCCCCCTGCCCCTGCCTCCTGAGTGCTGGGATTAAAGGCATGTGCTGAAAAAGAACCTTTTCAGGCAGGGTCTTGCTCTGTACTACAGTCTGGTATTGAACTTCAAATCCTCTTGCCTTAGCCTCCCGAGTGCATGCACTATCATGCCCACCTGTTCTGGTTTGTTTCTCCATTGCTGTGACAAAACACTGACCACTAAACTTTGGGAGGAAAGGGTTTATTTGTCTTATATCTCCCGGGTCACAGTTCAACCAGGAGCCCAAGGTAAGAACTCAGGGCAGGAAACTGGAGGCAGGAGCTGGACGACAGGCCATGGAGGAACTCTGCTTACTGGCTTGCTCCCCTGGCCCCTGCTCAGCCTTCTTATGCAGCACAGGCCCACCTGCCCAGGGGTGGCACCACCCACAGTGGGCTGGGCCCTCCCACATCACTCATCAAGAAGATGACCCTCGGACATGGCCACAGGCCAGTCCAATAGAGGCAATTCCCCAATTGAGGCTCCCTCAACCCAGGTATGTCAGGTTGACACTAAGGCTATCCAGTATACCAGTCTAGAACTTTTTGACCATAAATTTTGATGAGGAAACAGTTATTGCATTAAGTTAAAAAAATTTGTTATATGTGTGTGTGTGTGTGTGTGTGTGTGTGTGTGTGTGTGTGTGTGTAGGGAGTTGGAGAACAACTTTTGGGAGTCAGTTCTCTCCTTTCCACAGTCTGGGTCCTGGGGATCAAACTCAGAATAGAATAACTGAATTCCCTTCTGTTTCTGCATTTGGTCTCTTGCTATATGCTATTCTGATTGAAGTGTATGAAGAAAATCTGGCTGGACATGTAGCTCAGTGGTAGAGTACTCACTTAGCATGCAGGAGGCAGAGTTTAATTTGCATCACCAAAAAAAAGGAAGAAGAAGAAAGGAAAATATGGCTTCATACAGATGTGTGGTTGTAAAAGGGAAGACTATTTTTTTTTGAGACAGGGTTGCACTATGCAGTTCTGGTTCACTTGGAACTTGCTGTGTAGACCAGGTTGGCCTCAAACTCAGAGATCTTCCTGCTTCTGCCTCTTGAGCGCTAGGATTAAAGGCATGCACCACGATGCCTGAAAAAGGGAAGATTTAGACTAGTTCTCGAATACACAAACACACACACACACATGCACACACACACACACACGCACATACACACACACACAAACACACACAATATTATGTCATTTACAATGGCAAGTGTATTTCCATTGCAATAGTCATTCATGAATACTTTATCTTTGGAGAATTGCTCTCTATTTGTTATTTGGATTGATGAGTATTATAAAAATAGTTTAGCTCTTACAGCTACTTAAAATTTTTTTTTGTATTTACTTTTTTTTAAAAAACATTTATGTGTATGAGTGTTTCCCTGAATGTATGTAAGTGCACTCATGTAAGCAATGCCCGCAGAGCCCAGAAGGGGATATTAAATACCCTGGAACTGGAATGAAGGGTGGATGTTAGCTGCCATGTGGGTGCTGGGAACCGAACCCAGGTCTTCTGCAAAAGCAGCTAGTACTCTTAACTGCTGAGCCATCTTTCTAGGCCCCAGATGCTTTAAAATATATATATATATATATTATTTGTATTTTAGTGTATGAGTATATTGCCTGCATGTATGTAAGTGCACCTGTATCATGCAGTGCTCTCAGAGGCTAGAAGAAGGTGTTGGGTTGCCCTGGAACTGGAGTTATGGACAGTTGTTAGTCACCAAGAGGGTACTGGGAATCGAACCTGGGTCCTCTGCAAGAGCAGCCAGTGTTCTTAATTGCTGAGCCATCTCTTCAGCCCATATATATATATATATATATTAACATCACTATTTTTATTTGTTTTGATGGTTATTTTTCTCTATCAGAGTCTCACTGTGCTACCTTGAACTTGCAGTAATCCTCCTGACTCTGCCTCCTAAGTGCTGGGATTATATGAATGTATCATTATGCTTGGACATGTACACATTAATGTAGCTCACTATAATCTTTCTCCCTAACACCCCTCCCCTTTAATTTTTTGAGACAAGGTCTTGCTGTGTACCCCAGAATGATCTGGAACCCCTAGACTGGCCTTGAACTCAGGGCAGTCTTCTTGCCTTAATCTCCCAAATGCTGGAATTACAGGCATGAGCCACCATACCTGTTTTCTCTGTCTTTTCCTTTCTTCCCTTATATGACCTGTAGCTTCATCGGGGATACTTTGAAATTTAGGTCGCTCTCTGTCCAGTTTCTTCCCTCATCTACAGATTTATCCAGTAGGGAGTCATGTATTTGCTTAAGTAAATGTACAAATGAGTGTTTGAAGGATTGACTTAGATGGCAGAAACATAGCTTTCATCTTAAACTATTTTTAGAAACACAGTCCTCATCCACCTCGAATGTCTGTCTCTCCACATATATTGTTTAATCCTTAGCTAAGCTTCTGTCCCCCATTTATCAAGAATCTCAGGGTGGGGCTGGAGAGATGGCTCAGTGGTTAAGAGTACTTTGTGCTCTTGCTGAAGAACCGGATTTGATAGCCAGCACCACATGGAAGCTAGCAACAGTCTCTAACTCCAGTTTGAGGGGATCTGATGGCCTCTTCTGACCTCTGTGGGCACTGCATGACATAAGTGCATTTACATGCAGGCGATCACTCATACACATTAAAAAAATTAAATTAAAAGATCTAAAAAATAAAAAAAGACTCTCAGGGTGAATGGTACTTAAATATTGCCTCCTCCTCCTGACCTGTTTATCTGTGACCTTAGCTGAAAAGAAAGGTGCAGAAGGCCAGTGGTTCTGTGCCTAGTATGTCCTGTGCTATTGTTGGTTTTCCTTTTTATTTTTATTTGTCAAATAACTAAGAACCAAATGTATGGTGGTGTATACTTGGTATATTTGAGGACTGGTTATTTCTTGGCTTATTCTTACGAATTGTTTGGTGTGGGAAGCAAGTAAATGTCACAGGCAAGAGATCTGATTCTGGGCTGGGCATGTAGCTCAATAAGGTACTTGCTTGGCCTACATGAGGCCTTGGGTTTTATCCTCAGCACTGCAAAGGGGGTAAAAAGTGAAAGAAAGAAAAAATAAATCTGTTTCTGTAAACTGTTGGTCTAAGATTCAGCCCTGGACCCTGGAAGATCAATGTCAAGTCAAAATGGAGTCAGTCAGACTAAAGTTCAGTGCCACTGAGCTGTTTATCTGACCTGGGAAATCATGCCTAGATAAAACAGCCAAATTTCCCCAAACAGGCCAGTTTCAGTTGTAATCTGAGTCTGAGCAATCAGCTGTTTCTCTTTAGTTCTGACCCCGCCCCACCCTGAAAAGAAAGTAACTTTGAAATGACTCTGCTCTTTTACTTTTTTTCTTCCCTGCTTTCTTTGTTCCTTTTTTATCTACAAAACCAACCTCCTCTGCTCGATTCATTGTAACATGAGTTCTGTTTTAGAAATGAAGTGTTCTTGATTTTAGAATTGCAAATAAAACCAGTTAAGCTCTTTAAATTGATATGATTTCTTCCTTTTTCCTTCTTTGCCTTTGTGTGTGTATGCTGTTTGGTTTTGTTCGACAGGGTCTCATGTATTCCAGACTGGCCTGGAACTCATTATGTAACCAAGGATAACCCTGAATTTGTAATTCTTCTGTTTCTGTCTCCAAAGTACTGGGATTACAGGTATGTGCTATCAAGCCCAGTATAATTTCTTCTTTTAATCAAACCTTTCCTTTTTTCTTGAAACAGGGTCTCACTACCAGGCTGGCCTTGAACTCCCGTTGCCTTCCTCAGTGCTCTGGGATTAAAGGTGTACACCACCATGCCCGACTCCAAATGTCTTCATAGCAATATTTTTTTTCTTTCTCTTTTTAAAATTGACTACCAGTATTGACATAAAATTTGTTAATTACACAAGTGTCTATTTTATAAACAATTTCTACAGCTTATGTCTCTTTGCCAGTATAACAGCAGTAAGAATGTTCTAGTCTTGTTCTTTGGCACCAGAGTCAACAATCTATTATCTATTAACATCTAAGATAAAAGGCTTACCTAAAATGTAATCTCTATCTCAGGCCTTGTATCTTTTCTGTCCTGGAGTATTGCCATCTTCCTATACTTCATGCCAGAGACCTAAGGTCATCTCTAAGATTTCATTCCTAAACCAATGTGGTACATGCCTGTAATCCCAGCACATGGGACAAGGAGTTCAAGACCAGTCTGCTACTGTGTGAGACCTTGTCTCAGAAACAACAAAACAAAAATCTCATTCTCCACAAGGCCATTGTCCTATGGAATCTGCTTCTTTTAAGATCTTCCATCTGGCTGGATGTGGTGGTGCACGCCTTTAGTCCCAGCTCTTGGAGGGCAGAGCCAGGTGGATATCTGTGAGTTTGAGGCCAGCCTGGACTACATAGTGCGTTCCAGGCCATCTTGGGCTACAGGGAGACTCTGTCTCAAAAAGACATACACATGCAGACACACACACACACACACACACACATGCACGTATGCACACACACACACACACACACACAAGGCAGGAAGATGGATATTAGATCAGGTAGATAGATGGTCAATAGTAAATTGCTATTTTTTTTTAGTTTTTTATTTTATGTATATGAGTATATTGTCTGCATGTATGTAAGTGTACTAAGTATACTAGTGTCATGCAGTTCTTGCAGAGGTCAGAAAAGGGCGTTGGAACCCCTGGAACTGGAGTTACAAATGATTGTTAGCCACCATGTGGGTGCTGGAAAAAGGTGCTAAGGACAGCCTGAAGTGACATCGGCTCTTGACTTACATTTTACATTCAGGATGTTCTCCTTAGCCAAGGTCAGCAGTCTGTAGGATCTCGAGTTCACATATTCCTTAGCATTTTCAGGACATCCATGTAGCCGAAGGTGGCAATGCATATTGGTAAATCCAAACTGGACCACATAGTGAGACCCTGTCTGAAGAGCAAACAATGGGCTGGGTGTGGTAGGAGACAGAGGCAGGCCAATCTGTGAGTTCAAGGCCAGCCAGGGCTGTGTGGTGAGATCTAGTCTCAAAAAGCAAACAAGTAAGCAAGAGAAGGGTAGGGAGGTTGGGGTGTGCCTGAAAGGAGATGGGGGGAGGGGGAGATATGATCAAAGTACATTGTATGAAATTCTCAAAGAATCAATAGTTTATTTAAAAAAAGATAATCATGATATATTGGCCCAAGGATATATTTGTTGAATATTTTTTCTTCTTATTTAACATTGTGTCTTTTTTTTCTTCTTGTACATTAAACCATGAATTCATATGGAATGGGCTCCAGCAGCTCAGGTTCTTTCCATTAGTTCTCACAAAGTGTTTTTCTGGGTGGGGCAGGCTAGCGGTTCAGTTGAACCCAGATTCCTTTCTCTTTGGCTTCCTTTTTCTCTGGTCATTTTCCTTCAGCCATTTCAGAAAGCTGTCTCAGCTCTTAGGGTACTTAATATGCTCAATCCACACACTAATTCTCTTGGCAAGAATGTTGGCCTTAACTTGCTTGGTTACAACAAGGCCAAACAACCTGCTGAGTAGCACTTAGACTCTTCCAGTTTTGCCATTGTCAATGCTGGACTCCAGCAGCACTTCAAGGGAATAAGAGATAGTTTATTCTGGAACCAATATGAGTGACCATGGTCCAGGAACACATTCAGATTGCCCCAAATTCCATGTTCCAGCATGCTAACGGTTACATTATGTTTTTGTAGTAACAGAACAAAGAAAAGTCATATATCAAGATACTTTCAAATACATTGGTGGATACATTCAGTAGGTAGGTGATAGCAAAGTGGGGGGGCTCTATAGGTCTCAGATGCTATCTGATGACATGCTTAGCTTTTTGATTGGTGAGACCTAGTGGTCTGCTAAATTAATAGCTTTATTAGTCACAAAAATGTTAATTTAGAAACAGTGGTAAGCAAGATGTGGCTGTTTATGGGGTTAAAGATGGCCCCAGATGATTTGTGAATAGGTTCTGGATCAGTTAATCAGTTGGTCACCCCTGTAAGAAATTCAGCTGGAGTTCTTTCTGGGCACTTTCTTTCACACCATGGTAACATTTATGGGGCATTCCTTTTTGAACAGTACCCATTCCCTTAGTGTCTATAATATCATCTTTGTAGATTCGCATATATGTGGCCAAAGGGACAACTCCCTGTTTTCTAAAAGATCTAGAGAACTTATAGTGGGTGCCTCTCTTTTCCTTGTGTTTGTCATATTGGTGAGTTTCCAGAAGATGGCTTATCTTTTCCTTTTCTTTTCTCTTTTTCTTTCTTTCTTTCTTTCTTTCTTTCTTTCTTTCTTTCTTTCTTTCTTTCTTTCTTTCTTTCTTTCTTTCTTTCTCTTTTTGATACAGGGCCTCATATAGCACAAGCTGACTTTGATCTTTGAACTTGCTATGCAGTCAAAGCTGGCCTTGAACTCCTGATCAAAAGGTGCTCCACTAAGACCAGTCCTCTTTTATTTCTTTCTAGACATGTACATGTAACTTCTCAGATAACTGAGTATTTATAGGAAATCAAGGCTTGAATTTTCATAAAAGATACAAATGAAGTTGTGCTTCTATTCCTTACCATTTAAAATGTTAATTAGCAATAATATAACAGCTAATATTTGCTTCCCATCAGGAATTATTCTGTGTTCTATGTATGGTACGCTCACTCTTTCTTACAAAATGCATTGTTTTATGATAAAAAGAGTAAATTAGACTGCCAGTCAAGAATTTAGTGTTCTTCAAACATTCTTGCATCTAGTCTATCATTGATTATATAACCATTTTCTCTTTCCTTCAAACTGGTTGTGTTCCCAAAACAGAAAAATTAATGAGTTGACCAGTATCAAGATATTGTATGATGTAAAAATAGGGATTTATATAGTGCATGTCCAAGTGCTGCTGAGCTGCAAAGGGTTCAAAAAGTAGCAAGCAGGTTAGAGAAATGGCTCAGTGGTTAAGAGCACTTGCTGCTCTTCCAGAGGACCTGGGTTTGGTTTCCAGCACTCGAACAGTGGTTAGCAGCCATCTATAACTCCAGTTACAAGGGATATGATGTCCTCTTCTGGCCTCCACAAGCATTGTATGACATGATTGCACTTACATACGTGCACACCAAATATTGCATTTATGGGTATATTTACATGGAGACAAAACACATAAAATAAAATAAATCTAAAAAAGCATTTTTTAAAGCAGCAGCAGTAGCAGCTGTGACGGGATATGTGGCCCCCCAATCTAAAATTCACCAACTGGTGTTGCAGTATATGTCTTTAACCCCAGAATTTGGGAGGCAGAGGCAGACACGTCTCTGTGAGTTTGAAGTCAGCCAGAACTGCATAGTGAGACCCTGTCTCACAAAACAGCAGCAACAACCTAAAAACCTGAAAAACCTAAAAATATGTTGTCTGGCCCTTTAGAAAAAGAGTTAGCTAAAAAGCAGGGCCAGCATTTACAATCCTATCACCTGGGAGGCAGAGACAGGGGGATTGGGGCAAGCCTTACCTACAGAGGGTATTCAAAGCCAGTTTAGGCTACATGAAAACCAGGCTTGTCTTGAACTCATGGTAGTCCCCCTCCTGCCTCAACTTGTGTTGAAATTATAAATGTGTGCTACCACATCTGACTTGCTTGTGTTTTTTATGTGATATAATACACAACTAGTTTGAACAAAAGGGATTAGCATTCCAGATGCTTAAGTAACATTCTTGATAAATCATAACGGGATTAAGATGCGTTCTGAGAAACCAGTCTACCACCCACCCATTTGACTGCCAGTCAAGAATTTAATGTTCTTTAAACATTCTTACATCTAGTCTATCATTGATTATATAATCATTTTCTCTATCAAATGTTAGAGCTGGGGATGTAGCTCAGGCTCTGCACCTACCTAGCATCTAGCATGGAGGAGGCCCTGGTTTGATTCCAGCACTGAAAAGTAGCAAAACAAAACCCCAAGACTCAAATTCCCCTTCAAAGGACTCTTCTGGTCCCTTTGAATTTTAAAGTAGTCCACAAAGCAGAGAAGTACATGAATGAGGGACAGCCCAAGCTGGGATTCAGGCCATGCCTGAGATTTGAGGACAATAGGGGACTGGCTCCACAGGAAGGAAAGGTCTGGAAATGTTGTCTACCTGGGCCCTGTTCAGACGATTGAGACTTCAGTTAACTACCACTTCGCCCTCAGCAATTTTGGAAGTAGCAAAACTTACTGTGGAGAGATGTTGACCACTGGAACATGGAAAAATATTTTTGAGATAAATTTTTGACAGATAACTGGTTATAATAAAGGCTGCAAGGATGTTGATGATTAAAGAAATGGAGAGATAGTGTAGTGGGGTTGTGATTTAAAAGGTCTGACTGCCCCGTGGTGTGTACTGGTTTGTCCTCTCCCCTGGGTGTCTGTTTTATATAAGCTTTTCAGAGGCTGAGTGTGAGAGCTTTCCACTGCCCTGTAGGTAAGGGAGGGGTGGCACATGCCCTCGGATATTCCTACCTCTCTGATGTCTTCTTGTCTGATAAATTTCTCATCCCATCTTGCCCTATTCTAAGCATGTCGGCAGAAATTCCACACTTGTGGTAGGCCTGTCGCGCTCTTGCTTGGTTTCCAGTACAGATACAGCACAGTAGCAACTGTACTTTTTTTTGAGGTAGGGTATCATTATTGCTGCCCAAACTGGCTGTTAGCTAATGGACTTCAGCAATCCTCCTGTCTCAGCCTCCTGAGTAACTGAAGCTGCAGGTGCATGCTACCGCATCCAGCTTAATTTTATCTTTCTTTCGGCCTTGTCAGTGAGAATTGGGCAAGCCCTGTTTTAGGGTACAGAGGTAATGCCACTTGTGTTCATTCACCAACCCCACTCCACAGCCTTCCTTGTAGACGCCTTTGTTTTCAGTAAAAGTTTTCTGCAGCAAAAGTGGCACAGCTCAAGCGTTTATTTTATCCAAACTAAAGTTGTAGAAGTTTTTTCTGTAGGCTTTGCCTTTCCCTGATGGTCTGATTTGCATCTACTTATTATTCCAGGTTGGCAACAGAGATGATTCCAATCCTTATATAAATGTGAAGCTGAAGGCTGCTGAAGAGGTAAAGCCCAGAACAGGGGTACTGTTACCATCTCCCACAATGCCCTAGGTTTTGTGGGTAACCCCTTACCCCCTGTGTCCCTCCCCACAAAACTTTTCCTGGTACCAGCAGACCCTCTGATAGGGAAAAATTGTATTCTTGTAACTAACTGTATTCTTATGTCCTTATAAGCTTAGGCCATTTGAAGCTTCCTCTTGTTCTGGTTACTGGGTAGATATCTTGAAAATGCAACCCTGTAATGTTTTATAACTCAGTGATGTTTTATTTCTCTGTAATATTTTAAAGCTCTGTGATGCCTTTCACTTGCCATGTCTAACTACTGATACAGATGTGAAACTAAGAAAATGGAAAATTTGCCAAATGGTTTAATGAGGCACCTAGTCCAATTATTATAAGAAAAGTATAGATCAAACATGTCAGGTATCTAAACTTTGCCAGTGATACCTGTTTTTGTAAACTGCAATGAATAACTGATTCCTAGCCCCGTTAGCCTGACCTAGCTATAGATCAAAAGGCAGCAGATGTCCTGACCCATGCCTACTTTATAAGTTATGTTTGTCAAGTGAGCTCAGGAAGGAATTTTCTTGAGATCATGTGGCACATCAAAGTAAGGAGGCAGCTGGGCATGGTGGTGTATGCCTTTAATCCCAGTATTTGGGATGCAGAGGCAGGCAGATCTGAGTTCAAGGCCAGCCTGGTCTACATAGTGAGTTCCTGGCCAGCTGGAGCTACAGGGAGACCCTGTCTCAAAAAGACCGAAAAAAAAAAAAAAAAAAAAAAAACAACAAAGGAGCCATATGGCCCAGGTGCCAGCCATAAAATGTTGACATAAGAAGATCTATCTAAGCCCTATCTGTACTTCTGTTCAAGGCCCAGAAAATCTTGACACCCTTGTTTCTAATTCTGGGACCTCGTGTATGAGAAAGAATAAATGAATTTTCCAATTCTCTCCTGGGTGAATGCTTGATCTCCTAGCTGTTCGAAGAATTTTCTCTACCACCTCATTTACATGTTTGGCAGGTCAGAATTGGGTGACCTGTCATGACTAGCCCACCCCTACATGTTTGCTCATTGATAGTTTTCTATCCAGAGAGCAAGGGTCGTAGACATGGAATTGCCTTGAGTGCAGTGGGGACAGGTGAATGCAATGATTAGAGAGGTGGACTGATTCTTGTGAGCACACAAGGTGAAATGACACCTGACACCCCTTTGTTTTAGTGACCTCCTTCAAAGAAACAGGCCCATGTCTCAGGGTCTCTTGTCATTCACCTGTTTCTTATGTTCATTTCTGCAGATTGGGATCAAAGCCACTCACATTAAATTACCAAGATCATGCACAGAGTCTGAGGTGAGCGTTTATGAATGGATTGTGGAGAGGGTGGCTTGAAGGCCTTCCTGTCTGCTTTGTGCATTAGTGGAGCTTTAGGGGTTGAGATACATGTTGCAGGTAATTGTTTCTTTATAGCCTCCACCTCCAGAAGGTCCTCAGATATACCACAGTGGTGATGTCATTAGGTGTGGACATTTTCTTCTCAAAGACTGCTTATAGCTGCCCTTCCCTCCAAATCACTTTTTTGCCTGTTCTGAGGATTGAACCCAGGACCTCTCATGTTAGGCAAGTGCTCTACCAATGAGCTGCAACCCCTGCCCTTTTATTATTTTGAGAGAAGATTTCACCAAATAGCCCATGCTGGCCTTGAACCCATTTGATAGCCCAGGCAGGCCTTGAATTTGTAATCCTCCAGTCCCCACCTGCTGAGTAGCTGGGATTACAGGCCTGCATCACCAGACCAGCTGAGATTCCTTGGTTAAAACTGATTTTAAGCCAGGCATAATGGTGCATGCCTTTAATTCCAGCACTTGAGAGGCAGAGCCAGGCAGATCTGGAACTCTGTGAGTTCCAGGCCAGCTGGGGCTACAGGGAGACCAAAAAAAGGAGCAAAAACAAAAAAATGATTTTTAATCTGTAGTTAACTTCAGTTTAAAAGCCAGACATGTATTCTGTTTATGTTATGTGATGCTTGAGGATTGGCAGAAGCTCAGTGGTGGAACCCTTAATATGAGTTCCTATCTCCAAGCCATAGTACAGAGGGGCCGAAAAGAAAAGCAAAAGGCAGAACAAATCAGTGGGGATTAAGGTCAGGATTACAGTTGCTTGTAGGTAGGGAGATTAGCTATAGTGGGACAGGAAGGAATAGGAACTTTCTAGGTTAGAAGTATTCTGTGTCCCATACAGAGGCCCCTGGACCCATGAGGCTACTTATATTTAGAAGGAAATAGATAAAAAAAGAATTCAGTTTCTTTGTTGCACTGGGCATGTTTCAAGTAGACAGTGATTGGCATTCTGTTGCAAGGTACAAATGGCAGTACATGTGATTGTTATGGAGTTCAAGATCACTGGGAAAAGACCGCTCAGATTCAAAAAGTTCTGAATCAGCCAATTTATTTAGCTTGCCAGTGACTGCACTCTCTGAGTCAATTTAGAGAATGTAGCACTTGCTCAGAGGAAAGTAAAGGTGAAGTCTATACCCTGACTGGTTAGTACAAGATTAACTCAAAAAAAAGCTGTCACATGTTCTTGTAGGTGGGCAAGCAAGCAAACATTTACAGAAGCCAGATAAGCAAGTTATCACAAAAGCAGATAAGTCTCAGTTGCAGCCTCCCAGGATTATGTGGGTGTGTTCTTCTGGGGTCAGCTCTTCTGGAACTGCTGGGCAAGGGTAGGTTCTGGGATGGCTCACCAAGCTGGTGGTTCTTACACAAAATGGAGGAGCTTAGGCTATCACATTATGAGAAAGGGTTACAGGACATTGCTGTTCATCAGATTTGCTTTTTCCTTCCTTTTTATTTTTATTCTTTCCTTTTAAATTTTTCTTTGGAATTTTTATTTTTTACTTTATGTGTATGAATGTATTGCCTGTGTACATGTAAATGCACTATGTGCATATGGTGCCCATGGAGGCCAGAAGAGGGCGGTGGATCTCCTGGCTGGAGTTATAAATGGTTGTTAGCTGCCGTGTGGGTGCAGGGAATCTGAATCCATGTCCTCTGCAAGAGCAACCAGTGCTCTTATCCACTGAGCCATCTCTCCAGCCCTGCCTTCCTTTTTGAAAAAAATTTTACTTTTGTTGTGGCACAAAGAAAAAGAGAAAGTTCCAGAAAACACCTCAGGAGGATTAGAATGGACATTTCTTGGGGGGAGGGGCATGCTCTAAGGTTACTTTCCCAACCCATATAAACCCCAATAAAAGATCTGCAAAAAATGAGGCAGGCCAATCTCTGTTAGTTCCAGGCCAGCCTGGTCTACATACATAGTGAGTTCCAGGCCAGCTGGGGCTACAGGAAGACACTGACTCAAAAAGACACAAAAAATTTACCTTTATTTCCAAGTTTTGTTCATGAACTCATACAAGATATTCCAGATACATGTGTTTTTAATCCTTACCTCCCTCATCCTCTTCATCCTGATTGACTTGGAAAGAATATAATCCATCCCTCTTGTATGCTGTCGACACTGTGTATAGCCAGTCATGCAGATTTTTGTCGACAATACGTTTTGTGAGAGGTTTCAAGTACCTTTTGGGAAGGAAGGTACAGCTCCTGCAGTTTCTCCTCGGTGGTTTTTGTCCCCACTGAGATGGCCAGCTTTCCCATTTACTCTAGTTTTCTGGGGGAAACTGCTTGACATGGGCAGCATCTACAATTCCATCTTCTACAGTGGGACTTCCTAAATATTGTCTACTTGTTATGCCTTTTCACCTGAGAAATTTTCACACAGCCCTGGAATTAAAGGAATATAAAATCGATACATAAAACATTTATTGATTTAAAAAAATCAAAGAAACTTATTTTAAAACAATTCTTTGGTATGCATACAGTTTTACCATTTATTAAAGGCAAGCAAATTTGCATGTTAATGAGATAGATGTGCCTGTTTATTTTTATTTATTTATTTATTTTTGGTCTTTTTTGTTGTTGTTGTTGTTTTTTGTCTTTTTGAGACAGGGTCTCCCTGCAGCCCGAGTTGTACTAGAACTCACTATGTAGACCAGGCTGACCTTGAACTCACAGAGATCCACCTGCCTCTGCCTCCCAAGTGCTGGGACTACAGGCATGCACCACCACTCCTGGTTTTAGTTTTGGTCTTTTTTAAGACAGGGTTTCCCTGTAGCCTCAGCTGGCCTAGAACTTACTCTGTAGACCAGGCTGGCCTCAAACTCATGGAGATCTGCCTGCCTCTGCCTCCCTAGTGCTAGGACTAAAGGCATGTATTACCATACTTGGTGTGTCTGTTTATTTTTATGTAAAGAATTCAGTCTTGGCTGGATAGTTGATGCTATAATCATAGAGCATCTTCAACATTTTCAGTTGATTGTTTAATAAACTTTTAAGGGGTTGGAGCAAAGGCTCAGCAGTTAAGAGCACTGACTGTTCTTGTAAAGGACCCCAGTTCAGATTCTCAGCACCCACATAGCAGCTAAGAACCATCTGTAACTTCAGCCAGGGGATCCATTGCTTTCTTCTGGCCTCCATGGGCATCGTGTGCACATGGTACACTTACATGTATGCAGGCAAGACACTCATACACATAAAATAAAAATAATAAAATATTTAAATTTTTGAAAAACACACCTATTTGCCCTATTTTCATTAATATTTTTAGATAGGTCTCATTTTGCAGCCCAGGCTGACCTCAAATCTGTAATCTTCCTGCATTAGCCTCCTGAATATGAGGATTGCAAGTGTGTCCCACCACATACTGCTAAATAGAACCTGTTTCTGTTTTTTTCTCCCTTTCACCACAGCTCTTTCACAGGTGCCATGGTGGCAACAGAGACCAAAAGGGTTGTTCCGTTTCTTGATTTGGAGTTTGTAACATGGGCTTGTTAAAGTAATAAATTATTGCTTGCTGTTAAAATAATAAGCAATTGATTCTCTTAGGTCTTTTTTGGATAGAATCTTAGCATACACCTGTTAGATTATGTTAGTCACTTTTCTATTCCTGTGACAAGATGTCAAACTAAAGCGATCAGCTTGTAAGAAGGAAATCAATTACTTTTTTTATATTTATTATTTTTATTTTATGTGTATGAGGGTATTATCTGCATGCATGTAAATGCACCTGTGTTGTATATTGCCTGTGGTCAGAAGAGGGTATTGGATCCCTTGGAATTATGGACACCGTCATTAGCTGTCCTGTGGGTGCTTCAAATCAAACCTGGGGCCTCTACAAGAGTTTCCAGTGCTCTTAACCATTGATCCATCTCTCTATCCCCAGGAAATCGAATTATAAGGAAGACAGATTCATTTGGGTTCACAATTTCAGAAGTTTCCACCCATAGTTGCTTACTTGGCTCTTTCCCTTTGAACCTGTGACAGCACAAGTGTGTGTGATGGAGGAGGTCTGCTCAGGCTTATGGCAGCTACAAAGGAGAGGCAGGGGGAGAGCTAGGGTGATGGTGAGAAAGAGACTGGCATCCCAGTACCTGCTTCTAAGATGCTCTCCCAGTGACCCAGCTTCCTTCCACAAGGCCCTACCTCCCTAAGGTTCCCCACCTTCCCAATACTGCCACAGGCTAGGTACTAAGCCTTCAACATGTAAGCTTTGGGGGACATCCCAGGTCCAAATTATGGTAAGACTTTGTCAAAATAGAGCTGCACTCAAGATTCAAGGTGGGAGGTACATTGAGAAGGTGACAGTTAACCTCTTAGGGGAAATGGAACAACTTGGGTTGTGCCTTAGAGAAGAGTTTCTCCCCCTTTCAGTGTCTCTGATGTACAAATTATATGTGGCATTACTTTTAGGTGTTAAAGTATGTCACCTCCTTGAATGAAGACTCCACTGTCCACGGATTCATAGTGCAGCTACCTTTAGATTCAGAGAATCTGATTAATACTGAGGCAGCCATCAATGCTATTGCTCCTGAAAAGGATGTGGATGGATGAGTTACATGATAGGGTTGCTGGATTTCATTTAGATTACATTTCTGTTTTGGAAACATACCATCTTTGTTTCTAAAGAATAGAGACTTAACTGCATTTATTTCCTCTTTTCTTTGATTTCTTGCATTGTTTTAGATTGACTAGTGTCAGCACTGGAAAACTTGCCAGAGGTGATCTCAATGAATGCTTCATTCCTTGTACACCTAAAGGATGCTTGGAACTCATAAAAAAGACAAGTAAAAATGAGCAAACCAAGCAATAGGAAGGCACTGTTTTCTAGAGACTGTCTTGATGTGTGGAGATAACAGAGGAAGTAAACAGTGAGACATAAGGAAATGGACTTGATTGGCAAAAGTGACCATCTACTAGACGCTTTACCTAAATTCTCAGTTTTCTCCTCAGCCCTATGGAGAACAAGTGCTGTTCTTCATCAACAGGCTCAAAGCCAGTGGAGCTCTAGAAGCACCTGTAATCCCAGTCCTTGGAGGCAGAGGCAGGAAGATCATGAGTTTGAGGCCATACTGGGCTATATAATGAGAATCTGTCTCAAAGCCAAGGGCTAGGGTTCAGTCCTCAGCACTAAAAACAAAAATAAACAAAAGGCTCAGAGATAAGTGTTTCGTCCAATAGACAACAGAACCAAGATTTGAACTCAGGATTATGTGAGTGCAAAACAGTTTATTTTTGTGAAAAAAAGAAATTCCTACATGGCAGTAAGGATTCAGAGAATATGAAGTAAATGAAGTGGAAAGTCCCTGTCCCTGGAACCAGCACCAATTCCCCACCATGGTTCCAACACTAGACAGATGGCTGGAATGGATATTGTGAACAGTCGCCCCGTGTTATTTCATTGCATAGCTTGTACCTCAGTATTTTAGTTTTGTTATGAATACTTTTAGCAGAGTTTATTTTTTGCAAGGAAATGGGTTCTGTCTGAAAGAAGTAGGTCAGAAGTTTCAAGTGGGAAGTTAGGCCAGCCTTGTAATGAAAGTCATATCTGTGGTTGGCTAGTTAAGGTCAACCATAAGTCTTGGCACTGCTATGACAGTCAGTCTTACAATTTAAAGTCTAGCATGTTTAACCAACAATCTATTCCAAGTTGATAAAAGCAAATCCCATGAATGACTAAGAAGCTACTGGCTTCTTAATTCCTTGTACTAGTGAAACTATTGTTGCCTTAAGGTAGCCAGAAAGTCTCTACTGAATCCTAAATGATACAGTAAGGTGTGGCTGATTCATTGATTCATTGATCAATCTGCAGTGCTGGGAATATAACCAGGGACTCCAACCCACTAGTCAATTGTTCTACCATTGAGCCAGATCTCTGATCCCAACCAGTATACTTTTTTAATGCTTCAAACTTTGAGATTTTACTTCTGGTCTAGATAATTATGGTGCTAACATTATATAAGAGGTAATCTTTTTCTAATAAAATTGGTAAATTTTAAAAGATTTTTAAATTTTTAAAAAATATTTATTATAGCTAGGCATGGTGGCACCCACCTTTAATCCCAGCACTTTGGAGGCAGAGGCAGGTGTATCTCTGTGAGTTCAAGGCCAGCCTGGTCTACATAGTGAGTTCCAGGAGGATAGCTGGAGCTACAGGGAGACCCTGTCTCAAAAAGACCAAAAAAATTTATTATTATTATGTATGTGAGTGTATTGCCTGCATGTATGTAAGTGCACCCATGGTGTGCAGTGCCTGCAGAGGTCAGAAGAAGGCGCCATTGGATGCCCTGGAACTGGAGTTACTGATGGTTGTTAGCCACCATGTGGGTGCTGGGAACCAAACTTGGGTCCTCTGCAAGAGCAGCCAATGCTCTTAACCACTGAGTCATCTCTCCAGCCCCTATTTTTTAATTTATGTGTACATGTATCTGTCTGAGTGTATGTCAAGTATGTGTGGGTGCCCACCAAGGCCAGAAAAGGGCGTCAGATCCCATGGAGTTGGAGTTACAGGCAGTTGTGAGCCAGCTCATGTGGGTGCTGAGAACCAAACTTGAGTCCTGCAAGAGCAACAAGTCTTTTAACCCCTGAGCTATTGTTCCAGCTTCAGTAAAGTTTATTTTTATATTAGAAACATAATCTAAAACCTAAGCTGTCTCACACAGGGTTTCATAGCTTTCATCCTTGATGTGGTGGAAGCCCATGGTCTCTAGACCTCTCAGCTTTTTTGTGTGGGCAGCTTATTTTTAGGCCCCCTCTTGCTGGCCCCAGGCAGCACCGCCCTCTCTCCATTCTCATGCCAAATAGTCATGGAAGTGGAACTTTGGCCTGGAGGTGAGGGACAGCACTTGTCTGGTTGTGGGTACTTGCCCTTGTTATCCCTGGGGCAGTGGGAGTCAGTTCTGAAAAGAAGATTGCTAGGTGGGGAATGATGCATGCCTGTAATCCCTGTTACTTGGGAGGGTAAGGCAGAAGGACTATAAATTCAGGGTCTGTCTGGGCCATAGAGAATGTTACAGGTCAGTCTGGGCAATTTAATGTCTCAAAATAAAAACAAATCTCAGGGTATAGCTCAGTGGTAGAGCCCTTGCATAGCATGCATGATGCCCTGGGTTCGAGTCCTCAACACTGAAAAAACAGATGTTGATACGGTGGCAGGGGAATGGGTGCTGAGTCAGCAAAAAAGCTTTCCAGTACAGTTAAACTTCCCCTTTATCACTTCCCTGCAAATAGCCCTGGGGTAGGCCCTAAGCCAGATGCGAAGTTTGGATGAGAAACTGCATGAATAAAACCTTACCAAAGTTGGAAAGCTTTACTGATGCTAATCTAATTTCTTCTTTTTTCTCTCCACCCTGTTCCATACCCCATAGTTTTTATGACTATTTTGCCCATGTAATTTAATCTGATAACTACTTCCATATGGCTGTTAGCGGTGTGTCAGGGTTTCTTTTTTGAGTGTAGGATTTCTTCCCACTCCTTTATGACTCAGTGAGTGCATCTTGGCCTAAGCTGCTCTCCAAGCCCCACTGCAAGAAGGATAGTATACAAATCGCAATCTGTAGCTGCAGCCCTAAAGCTCGAACACCAAAGAAGGGGTGTTTGGGGGATGGTTTCTGTTTGATGCGAAGACTCTGCTTCTGTCCATTTGCTCTGTTTTCTGTTTGCACAGCATGCAAAGGAAGGCAGCTGCTTTCTCCCAACTCTGATAAATGCTGACTTCTCTTCCAGGGGTGCAGATTGCTGGAATGCACACAGTGGTGGTCGGGCGCAGTAAAATAGTTGGTGCACCAATGCATGACCTGCTTCTGTGGAACAATGCCACAGTGACCACCTGCCACTCCAAGACTGCCAATCTGGACAAGGAGGTAGGCTGTCCAGAGTAGAGTAGGTATCCGGTGCCTGCTTACCCACCCTCATCTCACTTAACCCCAGCAGCAGCCCTGTGTTCCTTGAGTCAGTTTGTAAGAAATTCAAATTACCACCTTGTCCACATTTGTGCAAAGTGTTTTTTGTTTTGTTTTGTTTTGGGTTTTTTGTTTGTTTGTTTTGGTCTTTTTGAGACAGGATCTTCTTGTATCCCCAGCTGGCCTGGAGCTCACTGTATAGACCAGGCTGGCTTCGAACTCACAAAGATCCATCTGCCTCTGCCTCTCGAGTGCTGGGACCCAAGGCGTGTGCCACCTCACCTGGCTATGCAGACTGTTTTGACCATGTACTTTCTACACCAGTGCGTCCCATGGCTGACGGATCGGCAATACAGGCAGCAGGGTTGGCATAGATCTTGCATTTATGGAAGTGTTGGCTTTGGAGGCAAGGGTGCTCCAAAAGAGGGTGTGCAGTTTTTTCTTTGTTCCCTTTTTTCTGGGGCGCATGCTGGGGATCGAACCTGGGGTCTCCCTCATACTAGCAGTCACTTTATCACTGCACTACATCCTCAGCCCTGGCAGCTTGCTCTTGATCCCTGCAGTGGAGTCCAGATACTAAGAATGTTCCCATGACTGTGTCCCTGTTGGCAGTGTAGTCTTTTATGTGGGCAGAGAGCAAGTTAGAGGCCCGGCACCTCCTCTTTTAATCTTCCCAAAACAGCACCTTAGAGACAGTTACAGTGCCTATAGTCAGTAGGAGAGGATGCGGTCTCTGGAGTTACCAGGAACACTGTCCTAAGCCTGTGGCTTCCCATTGTGCCAAAGCCTTCCTCACAGCTTCTCACTGTCTTCCCCATTAGGGGGATAACTAGTGAAAATACCTAGTGAAAGGGGGACTGTGTAAGATTGAGCACAGCATGGGAAGGGCCATCAGAAACAATGTGGTTTGCATTTGAGGCCTTAACCTAATATGCCTCAAAGAGTTGATGACAACCAAGAATTTAATGCTACAGCTCATGAGATTCCATTCTCCTTCTAAATTTGTTTTATTTTATTTGTGTGTATATTTCATTATTTCTGAAATCTGGATCCCTTCCCTTAGGTAAATAAAGGAGACATCCTGGTGGTCGCAACAGGAAAGCCTGAGATGGTGAAAGGGGACTGGATCAAACCTGGGGCTGTCGTCATAGACTGTGGGATTAATTATGTTCCGGGTGAGTGGTGCTGGGGAGACAGAACCTCACATCTCCTTTTATCTTACGTTCTGAGGTTTAGTGAGACTTAACTTGTGGGAGGTACTCACAGTAGGTGAGTGTGGGCTATTCCACCTGGTGGAGAGCTTGTGACTTTCCCTCCTGTGCCATTCAGTTCCCAAGTTGACTGCCCAAAGAGGGGTCAAGAAGGTATTACTGCTAATTAATGAATTAATTAATCAATTAATTTTGAGATGAGGTCTCTCTGTGTAGCCCAGGCTGACCTCTAATGCCAGCCTCCTGAATGCTGGGATTACACATTTGCAGTGTCCCACCTAGCTCCTATTCTACCTTCATATAGCTGTCACCTTTTAATTAATCAAATAATTAGTTAATTAATCTTTGTGTTTATTTATTTGTGAGACAGGATCTCACCTTATAGCTGTGGTTGACCTGGAACTCACTGTGTAGACCAGGCTGGCCTCAAACTCACAAGATCCTTCTGCTTCTGCCTCCTGAGTCGCTGGGATTAAAGAGGTCTGCCACCACACCCAGCTATCACCCTTTATTTTAACAAAAGTGATAGATTTAAATTGTAAACTACAGCAGTTCCTTCTCCATAATTTTTCTTTCCTTGGTCAACTCTGGTCCAGAAATATTAAATGGAAGACTCCCAAACAGTTGATGAGTTTTAAATGGCTTGCCGTCCTGAGTAGCTCAATGAAGTCTTGTGTAGTCCTTCTGTATCTCACTTCCTACCTGAGACAGGAGTCATCCCTTTGCAGTGTCCATGCCAAATATCTGTTGTCTCTTAGTAAAGTTTTGTGAGATTTTGAGAGTGTGGCCAAATTTGGAAGGATTTTTTTGTTTGTTTATTTTTATTGTAACTGCTATATTTCCCCGATTGGTTACCGTTGCCTGAGTTCTCTTGGGGTCTCTTGCTCCAGGTGCTATCAGACAAACCACATAACATATCTTTATGTGAGTTTATTATGATTTATATCATTGGGGGGGAGGGGAGTCACTTACAAAGGAATAACAACCGGTACCCACCTCTGTGCGGCTCAGAACCAGCATTCTCGCTTTTGAGGCCCACCCATAGTCACTGTTAACTTTTGCCCACGCATCTTGGGCCCACAGTCTTGCCCTAGGTCAGTAAATACCCCCTCTGGCATCCATGTGGGTGAGACTCCGTGCCATCTTTCTCTCCACACCTGCCATTTGTGGCTTCCATCCCAAGATGGCGCAGAAAGTCCCTCCCTCCAAGGCTAGCTCTCCACAGTCAATTCTCAGCAGGCCCCAACCCTTGGAGGAACCAGGCCCCTGGGACACAGTTAATAATGTTAATCTCTTACCTATGCTTGATTTGTGAATGAAATTTTATCATAGATACATGTGCATAAGAAAAAACAGTATGCAGAGCCTAGTACTGCCCATGATTTTAGGTTCCAGCTGGAGAGTCTGAGAATGTACTATACAGATGGTGGCTATTGTATAATCATTGCAAAGTGCCCCTAGAGTCCAGAAGAGGTATTCACTCTGTCAAAACGTCTACAAAGGCTTTATAGAGATATTTGAACTGAAGATGCTTGACTCATTGATATGGTAGTTTACAAACTACCTGGCAAGGGCAGCTTAGGCAAGGAGAGTTTATTTTGGCCTACAATTTAGGTCCGTCATTGTAGGAAGGATGTGGAAGTGGGAGTGTGTCATGGGGCTGCTTACATCTTGGCCCATCTGGAAGTGGGGCCGCTATAGCCCTCAGGATGCACTCCCAGGGACCTGTGTCTCAAACAGTACCACCGCTGGGGACTAAGTATTCAATACATGAACACAAGAGGGACAGTTCACATTCAGCCATTATGCCTAGACTTCTCTCTTCTTTCTCCCTCTCCCCTCCCTCTCTTTCTCCCTCCCTCCCTCTTTCCTTCTTTTCCTCCCTCTCCCTTCCTTCTTTCCTTGTTCTTTTGGTTTTGGCCTGGGCCTCCGACTGGCTTTACTTTTATTTTTACTTTTCCTCTTCCCCTCATTTTCTTTCCTCCTTCCCTTACCTCCTCCCTTTTCAGGATCTTTCTACATAGCCTAGGCTGGCTTCAGACTCTCCCACTTTACCTCCCTAGTGCTGAGATTTCAGGCATGTGCTGCCACCACTTGTGGCTTGACCAGAAGTCTTTCTAAGCAAAGAAGATAAATCCATCCTTTCAGTCATGCCCTAAACCCACTTACGGCATCCTCATCCAAGTCACTCCTAATTCTCCTGTTTTGGTTAATGACTTGCTCCACCTTACATGTCTGGATTTTTCCTTCTGACTGTTCTTAGATTGCATCTATTTTGAAACATTAAGAAAATTTTCCTCTCTCCTCCATTCTCAGTGTCGCCTGTGAACATTGCTTTCTCACTGGGAGGATTGCTGCCTGTTCATCCCTGGCTCCCTCCCTGAATCTGATCCCACATAGATGACCATGTGCACTCACCCACCTGCTGTCAAGGAGTGTGTGCTTCCCTCATATCTCTTGCCAATCTTTGCCTCACAGGAGCTTCAGCAACCCTCCCAGCCTTTTATCACCTGCATTGAGTGAATACTTGACTGAAGTTGTTGTGATTGGACCTTTGGACCATGTTCCCCATATATTCCTGGTTTGGCCTTGTCTTTTTACACTGTGTGTGTGTGTGTGTGTGTGTGTGTGTGTGTGTGTGTGATGCACACATATGCGGTGAGCATGTGGAGATCAGAGGACATCTTGTGTGAGTCAGTTCTCTCCTTCATGTGGATTCTGGAGATTGCACTCGGACTGGAAGGTTTGGTGATGAGCCCTTTTGCCCACTGAGCCATCTCCTCTGCAGCTGCCATCTGTCTCATTGTGGATCAGATTGTTTTTTCAAACATAAAATTTCCAAGAACAATACAGGCATGCCCACATGCCTGTATACCTAGTAGACTGATGAAAGGAATGATTACTGAGTAATTATTTCTGTGGATTGAGCATCATGCCAAGCCTTAGGTTTCATGACTGAATATGGATCAATTGTGGACTCCACTTACTGATTTATTATTTACTTATTTATTCATTTTGCAGTGCTGGAAATTAAACCCAGGGCCCTGTACATGCTGGGCAAGTACTTTTCCATTGAGCTACATCAGCAATAACCTTCCTTTGTTTTTGTATTTTTTTTGGTCTTTTTGAGACAGGGTCTCCCTGTAGCCCCAACTGGCCTGGAATTCACTATGTAGACCTTGAACTCACAGAGATCTGCCTGCCTCTGCCTCCTGAGTCCTGAGTGCTGGGATTAAAGGCATGTACCACCATGCCAGGCTCTTTCTGGATTTTAAATTGCTTCTTCAACTTCTCTTGTCTCTAATGTTAGTTCTTCCTAAACCTTGTCTGGTACCCTTTCATACAGGAACCATTACTGTCTTGAATATCCTCTCTCCCTCCACTTCCACACAACTCGGCATTTCGGACATATCAGTGCTTAATGTCCTGCCCCTCCTGGTTCCACAGTCCTCGCAGGCAGTGGTCTCTGCAGTGCCCTGTCAAGCGTCCTGCCTTCTGACACTAGCATTCAGATCTGTCATTGTTGAAGAGAGTTAAAGCAAGGATCATTTTTTGTCTCTTCCTATCTGAAGTTTGAAATGCAGACACTGAGCTGCCAGGAGTGTTAGTCACTGTCAAGTGCTCACCGTTTTTAACCTCCCTCCCACTCTGCCTCGATTTTAAGACAGTAGCACATAATTGATCACTAATTTCTGGTAGTATAATTATCTAATGGGTGAGAAAGAAATTGCTCTCCTACAACTCTTCACTTTGAATACTTGCAATATGACATTCAAGCTCATTCTAGTTAAATCCTTACACCTTCTGGATCATGCATTACTGCTTTGGGCCTTGTTTTTGGATGAGGTGTGAGTGAGATGGAGAAGAACTTGGGCTAGTGATATAGCCTGGTGGTCAGGTGCTTGCCTACCTTGTGCAAGGCCCTGGATTCAACCTTCATCATTTCAGGAAAATTATTATTTTTGAGATGAAAAACCTGGGTCAAGATCTAGAATTCTGTAGATAAGTCTGAAATGTTGATGTAAACATTAATTTCTCATGTAGATAGTAAATTAGTATAGATGGACATCAGTGTTTTCACCAATCCTAGGCATATAGACAAGTAAATATTAAGACTGGCACATGTAGTTCCCCAGAGATGGCAGAATCACTGAATTACAGGTCAGTAGCAGGCTTTAAGACCTAAAGACTATTCTTTAAATATCTTCATCTTAGAAGCACTGTTTTCCGCACCTCGGCCACTTCATGGTTCATATCTTGATTGTTTAAATTGTTTGCTTGAGAATTATAGCTCACTGATAGAACAAGAGCACAGCATGCACAAGGTGCTAAGGTTTATTTTATTAAAAAATAAAAAGCAGGCTGGGATGGTGGCGCATGCTTTTAATCCCAGCACTTGGGAGGCAGAGGCAGGTGGATCTCCATGAGTTCGAGGCCAGCTTGGTCTCCACAGTGAATCCAGGACAGCTAGGGCTACAGGGAGACCCTGTCTCGAAAAGACCTAAAAAATAAAAAAGCATCCACATTATAGCTAATAGCTGACCATAACTCCAGTTCCAGAGGATCCAACGCCCTCTTGTAGCCTTTCTGAGCATTGTATGCACATGGTACACCTACATACATGCAGGGAAAACATACACAGAAGACCAGGGTTCAATTCCCAGCACCCACATGGGGTAGTTCACAACCACCTGTAGCTCTAGCTCCAGGGGATCTGATACCCTCTCCTGGCCTTCATGGACACCTGCATGTATATTA